GGTTTTAACTAATTTTCAAGTACCGGTGTATCGGTATCGCATTAGACAATTCTGTATATCTTTTTTTTTTTTTTTTTTTTTTTAGATTCGCGAAGCAGAGCCTCGCCCGGGCTATGCCTATTTGGGGAGCCCGGTATTTTCTGTATATCGATGCCCATAACACGTACAGGCATGATGAAGGTAATATATTAGGAGTTGGTGTTGGTCTTGTTTTTACGTAATTTCGCGACGTCAGCACAAGTTCATCCTCTTTATAGGATAAAGATCTGTTGAAAATCCGTATAAAATCATATGATATGAAACATTAAATGATTAGTACCCGTGACTGACATAAATACCCATATTTGTTCTAGAGTTTACCTCTCTCGGAAAAACAATAACCGAACCTTTACTTATCTGTTTGATGTCATCGTATTGGTTTGTATCATACATTCAAAAGAATCAAATCATTGACATAATGTGTACTTGAACAGCAAATCATAATCTGTTTTGATAACTAAAAGATATGTTTATATGAAAATCGTAAAGTAATTACTGTATTTCGAAAAAAAGAGTTATCAGTTACCCTTAAAAGTGATCGAAATTCACTGGGAAACGAGAGATCTTCAGTTTTGACGACTGCACAATGTGGTTGCTCTATACTCCTGGTATTTACTTTAGACTCTTTCAGCTTGACTCGGCTCCTAGGACCTGGTTCAGCTGTTGTTCTTTTTGTCTCTCCACCAGTACATAATATTGTCAAAATTCTCTTTGTGTTTCCATTTCTGTCAGTTGTTCGTCTGATCTCTTTACGAATCCGGAACGTTACGATTGAATTCAATTTCTTTTTGTGGCTCTGTTCCCTTTGTTTCCCGTATTCTCTACCTCTATCTATCTAGCTGTCTACCTGTACGCACACACATGTTGCAGTATCACTGAGTGAGAAAGATTATCAGGGGGGAAATAGAACGAAGAATGCTTTTTTTTGTTCGCCTTCCATTCGGTCGCACTGAATTTCCCCCAGGCATGAAAAGTCTGTAGGGCTGTAAACATTAGTTGCACCAATACCCTTCTTTCCCTGGAATATACTGCCCAGCTGTCATCAGTTTCTTTATGTTAAACCTGTGCCCTTCTTTCCCCAGGGTTGTCTCGCTGGCTACATGAGGAAAGGACTCGCTTTACTGCTTGTGTTTATGAACTGACATATTCATACCCTATAAGTAATATGATGCGTTGTACTGATAGACAATTTTCTTTTCAAGCTTTATTTATTAAAAAAGAGGAATACAAAAATTGAGCATGGGTGAAAGTCAACCATTGATTTAGAAAAATGCAAGTATAAATTCAGTGTGTATGTACGGATGTACACACGCACACACACATATGTATATCAATTTGTGTATTTATTCTATCTGCGTGCGTGTATTTGTGTCTTTAATTAATGTGTGTGTGTGTGTGTGTGTGTGTGTGTGTGTGTGTGTGTGTGTGTGTGTGTGTGTGTGTGTGTGTGAGAGAGAGAGCGTGTGTGTGAGCGTGTGTGTGAGCGTGTGTGTGTGTGTGTGTGTGTGTGTGTGTGTGTGTGTGTGTGTGTGTGTGTGTGTGTGTGTGTGTGTGTGTGTGTGTGTGAGAGAGAGCGTGTGTGTGAGCGTGTGTGTGAGCGTGTGAGCGTGTGTGTGCGTGTGTGTGTGTGTGTGTGTGTGTGTGTGTGTGTGTGTGTGTGTGTGTGTGTGTGTGTGTGTGTGTGTGTGTGTGTGTGTGTGTGTGTGTGTGTGCGTGCGCGCGCGCGTATTTGTGAACATATACAATTTCTTTAGAATGTCGGTAAAGAGAATCCTTAAACATTAAGCGGAGCATTTATTTTTATTTGTTGGTGACTGCTTCTGCATTCAACGCCGAACATCAGCCATTGACAGCATCGTATTGCAGCACAGTTGCAAAGCATCACGTCGTACTTTATTTTTCTTTTTTTTTTCATCTGTTTATGACTGACAACGGCAGTGAAGACATTCAACACAGATCATATTCCATCAGACTGAAGGCAAAACAGAATACATACTTAGTTACAATAGCGCCACTCCCACACAGAAGTTAAAAGTACCAAATAATATCTTTGCATAATAACAGACATAATACACACACACACAAACACACACACACAAACACACACACACACACACACACAAACACACACACACACAAAAACACACAAGCACACACACACACACACACACACACACACACACACACACACACACACACACACACACACACACACACACATCCACACAAATACACATAAATACATAACATTCCTACTGACTAAAATACGGGTATCCCTGGCACATGTCCTTTGGCAGACTTTGGAGATTTCGCTGAGACCTGTTAAGGCCTTTAAGTATCTAAAAGTCACTCAGCCAGAAACTGCGCTTTACTTATTCTACCAAGTACACCATAAACTTCAAGAATATTCAAATCCATTCTTCTCAATGGATTTATTTGGTTTCGAGAGCTAAAACTACGTTTGGATGACATTGCAGAGGCTGCAGTCGAGGATAAGTAGGTAGTAAATGATTGATTATCGTAACCAAACTCAGACAAAAGGGAAACAATAATTGTACACAAATGACGAAATCCACCTGGATATACTTGGTATAAAACTCTTTGGATCAAAAGAAAAAATCACTATATCACAGAAACTTTTTCTATTTCTAACATATTTCTATTCTTACTATACTGACCATGTGCGTGTCATGACTAGTAATGTCTTGGCAAGAGATTCCTAGTGAAAAAGGAATGTTGTACACCTTATATTTGCATGTCAAAGTTCATCATTTGCGGCATTTTTCATGAAAAGCTTTCCGTGTGAAAAAAGTCACCGGTGGTTTGCAGCTTCGTGTTTCTGTGAGCTTCGGAATAAATAAATAGTGGACAAATAAATATATAGAAAAAGTCTAAGGTCACTTCAAACTTCAATCAACTCAAGAAAAAAATGTAGACGATATCATTGCTGTTCGAACTTCCGAGCGAGATCCATTATCTTTCTGTTCTTGGCAGTGTTTTGAGAATCAGCTTTGCCTAGCTTTCCTGGCATTGGCTTTGCGCCGTGTGTCCTTGCCGCCCCCCTGCCCGCTGAGTGGAAGGGCGGTCTCGCAGCAGCAGCTGAAGGGATCGCCTGCTGGCTAGGTCGGAAAGGCTTCTTTGCGTTCGCCTCTGAGGCTTCTGTGAGCCGAGGTAGAGAGGGAGGCTCTCGGGCAGGAGACGTTCGTGAGGTCGGTCGCGGAAGTCCAGGTGGCTTCATTGGTGGTTTCTTATCGTTGTCTTGGCTGCTCGCAGTCAGAGCGATGGGCCGGCCGCGCCCATTCGACTGGACGCTGTCGCACGAACTCGAACTGCTCGTCCTCCGCTTCTGCTTCTCGGACTGAATGAAGGGATTCGATGCCAGCTTCGAGGAGGGGTCGGGGGTGTTCTCGCAGTTTTGAAGGGGCTTCGTTTTGGAAGGAGGCATCGGGGGAGGCTGTACAGGCCGTCCTCGAGCAGCAGGGACGTCCGTTGAGATGGAACGGCCGTAGGCTGGCCGCAGGGCCACGGGCGGTTGCGTGGGGATGGGCGGGGGTGTTCCGTGCCTTGATCGCCGATTGTTGATATAAGGATCCACAACGATGCGACTCAAGGGCATGGCCTTTTCTTCCCCCATGGTGACGGACCTTCTGTTTCCCTTGTCCGGGTCGACACCTTGTCCCTTTGTGCCGAACTTGCTAAACAGGCTTACTAAACTCCTCATGGAGACATTCGAAGATTGAGAATCTTTGAGATTGTTCTCGTCCGCGTCCAGCACGCAGCCCGAGTCCACAGACACAGACTGCATGTACTTCGGACGCTTCAAGGAATCCACCGACTTGAGGCTTGAGGAGTCCGAGGGGAGCTGGACCTTTCGGTGCAGCTCCGGCGAATTCTTTGGTTCGAGCGTGACGATCTCGGTGACCAAACGCTCGTTCGCGACTCCCCACGAGTTCGTCCTCGAGCGCTGCCGACCCTCGAAGTCTAGGTCGACCTGGCAGATCGTCCTACCGTTCTCCGTGGCCGCCGAGACGTCAACGGTGTGGATTTCCTTCCGAGAGGTCCGTGGCCGCTTCCCGAGGGGGCCGACGGTGACCATCCAGTGGGTGATCTTGGACACTAGAGGGCAGCAGCAGGTGTCGATGCAGGAGGCGCAGCGGGGGGCGATGGCGGACACTTTCTCGCGACCTTTCTTCTCCCAGCAGCGCCGGAGACTCCCCCAAGCGCAGAACAGAGCCGCAGCCAGGGTCAGCAGCAAGACGAACAACACGCACAGCACCAGAGCGGCGGTACTTCCATCTGGAAGAGATAATGCAAGAAAGAAAGGAAGAAAAGTGAGAAGAGGAGTGCATTTCAACTTCATGGACAGAGATACAATGGCCTCTGAGACAGCAGGTCCAAACTGTATTTGAATATGCCCGTGATATATAAATATATCTACAGAGAGGCATCCATAAATATATGTAAAGAGTGTTCGAGACCAACCTTTGTTCGCTCTCGAGGCCGGCCCGCTGTCCTCAGACCCCCCCATGCCCGGCTTGGCGCAGTCGGGGGGAGAGAAGCCGGGGTCGCAGTGGCATTTGTTCTTGTTGTTGCAGACGCCGTGTCCGGAGCAATTACCCGGGCATTGCCTCGTTCCGTCGGCGACGGGCACGGCGACACACCTCTGGTTGACACACATCTGGAGAGAGACGAAGTGAGTTCATGCTGGGCGCTGTCAGACGGGAGTGAAGATGAAGGTGAGTTGGAGTGGAAATAGAAAAAGAAGAAGAGAGATAGAGAGAGAGAGGGGGAGAGGGAGAGAGAGAGAGAGAAAGTGAGAAAGAGAGAGAGAGAGAGAGAGAGAGAGAGAAAGAGAGAAAGAGAGAGAAAGAGAGGGGGGGGGAGAAAAAAGAGAAAAGCGTAGAAAGGTAAAGAAAGTAGAGTAAAAACAAAAGAGGAATAGTTATAAAAAAAAAAAAACA